ATAATATGTCTTGGTGACTTTCTTTTGGGATCTACCTTATGTGGGGTTCGATGAGCATCTTGAATAGATATCTTCTCATCTTTCATGATATCAGGGAAGTTTTCTGTTGAGAAATCTTGAACAATTTTCTCTGTATTTTCTGGTACCCCCTGTTCTGGTACTCCAGTCACTTATAGGTTATTTCTGTTGATACAGTCCCACATGACTCTTAGAGTTTCTTCATTCTTTTTAATTCTTTTATCTGATTTTTCCTGAATAAGTTGGCGTCAGGAGCTTTATCTTCAATGTCACTAATTCTAACTTCTACTGGTAATTCCAAGAAGTTCTCTTCCTCCAGAGAATTTATTGATTCTTTATCTTGGGAGCTTGTTGAAGCCATCATTCGCTGCCTCTTTATATGATTTGATATTGACGTCTCCGAGCCATCAATAAGTTATTATACTTTTACTTCTTATTTGTTTAGTGAGTCCTAGCTTCTTGTTTTGTTTTGTTTTGATATGCCCCAATAGGCTGCTCATGTGTGGTAGGTTGATTATTGACACTTTTGAAGCTCTAACTTCCTGTCACCAGGTAATTAGTTCTGTAACTAAGTATGTGCCCACAGGAGTCCATTAAATTTTCCTATATGGGTTCAGCTCAGGTGATCAGGCAGTCAGTCACCAAATGTGTGGTACAGGCTCTCACCTACAGTCCTAGAGAGGGATGTGTGATTGGTGTAGGCACTGGACTCTGGCTGTGGTAGGGGACCATGCGCTGAGCCAGGCAGGGGGCTGACGGCTGCCCCTGAGAATCTGAAAGGAAAGTGTGTCCCTATTCTCTAGGGGGGGTAAGTAGGTGAGTTTTGCAGCCAGACTATGAGCACCCCACTCTGTTGGCTGTAAAGATTCAAGGGCACCACTTTTTCTTGGACTCCTATAGCAGATGACTAGGAGGTTTACATGACGCCACCAGTCCTCAAGCCCGCTGCAGGTCGATAACAGTGCCTACTTAAGGGGCAGGACGGTTTCAGGGGTCACAAATCTGCCACTTCACAGCTGAAACAGTTGAAGTTAAACTTCAGCTGTTTGCCCTGTTGTACTGTGGTAGTGAGAGCTAACACTGTTGAGATGGGTCCCACAAGTCTATACAGGGGTGTAAGGTGCTCAGAGTCTGCCGGCCCCTTATGCCTGTGCCCAGCAAAGGAGCTGTGCCGACCCTGTGTTCCTGACTTAGGGGAGCAAGTAGGTTATTTGTTCCCTCTTCAAGGCCAGGAGTATGGGTCAGGGCACCTTTTGGAATCTACTTCTGGCCCAGCGGACTCCCAGTGCAGAGCGCAGACGGAGGAGGTAAAAGGGAGAGAGGTTTTTCCCAAATGGGCTTTTTTTTTTTTTTTTAAATCTCCGCGAAAGGCTGCATGCATGTACTTATCTTTAGCCACTTGGGAGCTGCTTTTCACTGGTTCGGAGTGTCCAAGCAGAATCTCTGCTACTGGATCTCTCTCATTGTGGAAACTGCTTTCTGAGCACGCACAGCTGTTTGCCTGCTTCACTGCGGACGCATAGTGGCTGGGAAGTTGCCGAAGAGTTGCCTTCCCGCCACTGCCACTCTGGTGCTGCTGGCTTCTTCCAAACCGTCTCCCTTTCCCCCCACCACTCAGTCTGATTCCTCAACTTTGCCTTGTTCAGGGCTCCTAGATATTCATATATAATCAAATCACTTGTTTTTCCAGGTCTTTGTTGTAAGAGGGATATAGGAAGCATCTTACTACACTGCCATCTTGGCTCCGCCCCCATTGTTGTTTGTTTCATGGGCCTGTCTAATGTTTTGCTGAAGGGTGAATCTCAGGAGTAACTTAAGTACTGAGCTAAAAGAGTGTCTGGGGGGCCATACTGTCGGGGTTTCTCCAGTCTCTGTCAGACCACTAAGTCTGGTCTTTTTTTTTTGGTGAGTTAGAATTTTGTTCTACGTTTTTCTCCAGTTCTGTCTGGGACCCTCTACTGTGATCCCTGTCAGAGCAGTCAGTGGTGGTAGCCGGGCATCATCTAGTTGTACTGGACTCAGTCTGGTGGAGGCTGTGGTACTTGTGGTCCATTAGTTCTAAGGAAATTCTTGACTAGAAGAACCTGGAATTATTAAATGATAATGGTAATGACAAGAAATATGTAAGAGAACTAAAAGCCTTATCCTAAAAGACAAGTCTATAGCAGAAGAATAAAGAAAATCTTATATTCCCTCCTTTATCTGGGATTCTTTGGAATGGAATTATTTCTGGTAAGTAAATTATCTAAACAATTGAAGCTTATTGATTTAACCACCATAACAGTTCGCATTTGATGTAATTCTCGTGCGTACTGTGTAATTTCTGGCATTAATACAGAGAATATTGAAAACAATTCAGCCAATTTGTTTGGCGTTTGGTCCTCATTATTAATTTATTATTGTTGTTTTTGTCATTGTTTGTTTGTTTTTTTTAAGCTCTGCCAAATAATCTCAGTGCCATGGTCCATGTAAAGGGCCATTTGCCCCCTCAGGACTCAGCTATACCCTTATATAGCTCTTTTAACTTTTAACTGTTTTTCTCTCATTTTGTTCTCATTGCCAGGGCATGCCAGTTTTTACTTTTTACTGCAGAAATCTACATGATTGCTTTCCCTATCCCAAAACACCTTTTCTAATTTATTGATTTATAAATTTTATACCTTGGGAAACCAGAAACTCTCATCTGTTCCTATTTTGTGTAAAGTAAGATTAATAGATGCTAAATGAAGTCATGTACTTAGTGACAGGTTTTTTGACCATCCAAAGACTTTCAAAATTTACTTTCCAATTGAAGGCGGTTGTCTGGAGTGGCAGAAGTTTGACACTGGGCAAAAATGCCAATTTATTTATAAGCTACAGTGTTTATGGTTTTCCATTATAGCATTGGTGCCTTACTACTGCTCCAAAATTAAGTAGAGAAATTAAGTTAAAGAAAAATAATCACCTTTGCTCCATGCAGTTGGTAAAAATTTTGTAAAATGGAATTTGGATCTTTTTGTAAAAGGAGAGGTAAAATATTCTTATTTCCTCATGAGTGTTTTTCCATTTTTTTAACAGAGAAATAATAATGAGTATAACTGTCGGGAAACTCACAGACCATGAGGTTATAACCATTGCACGTTACTATCGTGCACTCGAGGACAAGGATCCACATGTGAATGTCTTAATTACAATGGCCCATGAACAGCTCAAGAAAAATGCTTTTGAGAATTTTGACAGACTAATCTCTACCTGCGAGTATGAAGATCGAGAAAAGTAAGCTTTTTAAAAAAATTCTAATAAATCATTTATGTTTCCATGAAACCCAAGAAATGAAGGAGTTTATATTTTATCAAAAACGATAAAAAGAAAATTGGCATTTCTCATCGTACTCCACTATTTAGTAAAGCCATTTTAAATCCTTTTAGGAGAGTATCTGGTTATAAATGTTTTGTAGTAATGGTGAGCTTTGTTTGTTGATGGAATAGGGGAGGCGTGTAGCTTCAGAAGAATATGGTGTCCCTTGTATTTTCTTTTCATTGGTTTCTAGAAGCTTTCATCTGAAACACAGTAAACCAAGATGTTAGAAGGTTTAATTTTGAATTGTCTTCTTCTTACATTGTTTTAGTGCCCACTGGGATTTATAAATGTGACTTTTATAATAAACAGGACAGGGAATTTGCAAGTAAAGTTTCTATAGAGTTTCTTTGAAATGATTCTTCTTGAAAATGATGAAGCGCAGCATAGTGTATTTCTAATACATTTATCATATTTGTGTGGAGCTTCCTTAAGTCAGTTAAATATACAACTGGAATCCCATTTTAATATGTTTTGGTGTTCATCTTACCTGCAGGCCTGATATAGTGGGGGGCATACTCATCTAGAAGTTAGAAAATCTTAGTTCTAACTCTGGTTTCTAGTCTTGTGACTGCATACCACTGCCATCTTCCTTCCCTCATCCCAAGACCTGAAGTCTTTACTCAAAGCAGCCAGCTGCATACCCTAAATATCTTTGAAGGTCACGTGTTGTTGTGTGTCATCTAGTCAATTCTGACTCATAGCGACCCTGTATGACAGAGTAGAACTGCCCTATAGGGTTTCCTAGGTTGTAATCTTTATGGAAGCAGATCACCAGGTCTTTTCTCCTGCGGAGCCACTGGTGGGTTCAAACCCCCGACCTTTCGGTTAGCAGCCAAGCACTTAACCATTGCACCACCAGGGCTCTTTTTAAGATCCCATAGTTTATCTTAAAAGTGAGCATTGATTTTTTTTTCCTAATCTATAACACATCCTTGTTGATTTTTTATAAAGAGGTATTTGTCCTTGAATCTGTGAGCCTCCCTGAGCCTCCCAGACCATGTGAAGCCTGAGCTTTGCATGACCCTGGCCCTGCCTTCCACCCTGATGGTGCCCCTTCTTCAGGGTGAGAAGTGTGAGCTTCTTTCACTATAGAAACATCACTTTAGAATAAGGGGGATGTTTGTTTGATCAGATAGCTCTGAGGTTCTTCCAGATCTGACAAGTTTTGTATCTAGACGTAAACATTCTTGTCATTTTATAACCTCATTACAAAGAAAGAAGCCCACTTTTTTGCGTTTGTTCTAATTCTTCCTGATACCCAGAACAACATTTATTGAGTGGGATAAGCATTTTTGTGCCCCCAGCATGTTAGTAAAAATTACTCTTGGGCTTTTCTGGAGAAATCATCTAACAAAATTGAGGTTACTACCCCTACTCTAGTTCCCAGGATAAAAGGTTTGGGTCCAAGGAAAAGACCAGAAAAACACCCTCAAGTCATATCATACTTATGTTGGAGGGTCTAGATGCCTGTCAAATTAAGAGATATTTTCAAGTATCAGAACCATTTTTGACTAGTGGTCAAGAATGAAGATCAATTACTTAGAGCAACACTCATGGCTGCACGTACTATCACTAACCACGAATTCTGAATCTTGACGGAAAGGCCTTTGTGAGACAGAATCTGGTGATTTCTGAAATGGAAAATGTTGGTGAAATATGATATGATTGTTTTTCCTTACTACAAATGCAAATACCAATTTTTATGTTTATTTCCCTGTGCACATTTTTAGGACATATCTATATTTTCTTTCCTCTAACATGTAGTTGTTAGTAGAAAGACACAAGGTATGTAAAAGCCTATTTTCTTTCTTTTAATGCAGGAAAAAAGTATTACCTAGCAAAGACATCAGAAGGCTGTGCAAGTCCTCTAGGTTACCTGTGAAGGAAGATCTTCTAGCATCCTTACTGTCCCGGTAAGCAAGAGCTCCATTCTGGATGGAGATTGTCCTACATATTTTTCTTTTGAGGACTAGTCCTGGTTTTACATCTACCTTTAGTTACTCTTGACCTCTTGTGTTTTGATTATATTATTGATGACATGCCTCCATTTACATGTTACAAAAGGAAAAGCTAGTTGTTTTAAATGTTAAAGAAAAGAGCCTATTATGAATTATTATTATTTTTAACATTAATACACACATATACACAGGTTCCTGGAGGAAAATGTATAACTTTTTGGTTCTGAGGACATTAAATGTAAAATTCAAGGCAGGTTTCTCAAAGTATTTCCTGATGATTAAGACATATAATAAGAGGACCTAGTGTTATTTGCGTAGAGCTCTATCCTGCTAGAGCACCAGATGTAAAGCATAGATTTTGATGTCCCAAAAGGAATTTCCAAAACACATCATTTCTCCTGTTGAACCTGACTTTTGACTTTCTGGCACCACCCTCCCAGCCACCCAGACATAAGACTCTGGTCATCTTTTATGCTTCCTATGGCATCAGCCCAGCCCCTCCTCTTATTTACATATCTTGATAATTCTGACATTTTGGACTATGTTTTAGGCATTGTGTTTGTAGTTTACTTATCTCATTTACTTTCGGAGAGCGACTTTGTGAGATCGGAACTCTTGTTCTTCCTCTCTTATACACGAGGATGCTGAGGTTTAGAGAAATAAGTATTTTGCCTGAAGTCATATAACCCAGAAGACGAAGAGCTGTGACTTGATCCCTGAACCTTTCAAATACACATCCTCTGGCTATAACTATATTGAATTATTGTCTGTGAATAACCAGTGGATGACAGTTCTACTCACTTAGTTATCTAGTGCTGCTATAACACAAATACCACAAGTGGGTGGCTTTAACAAGCAGAAATTTATTTTCTCATCATTTAGGAGGCTAGAAGTCCAAATTCAGGGTCCTGGCTCTCTCTGTTGGCTCTGGAGGAAGATCACTGTCTCTTGGAGCTTCTGCTCCTGGGCAGTCTTCATGTGGCTAGCCTCTCTATTCCTCCATCTCTGCTTCCTAGATTACTTGTTTAATCTCTTTTATATTTCAAAAAAGATTGACTCAAGGGATACCCTGCACTAATCCTGCCTCATTAATATAACAAAGGCAACCATTCTCAAATGGGATTATAACCGCAGTCATAGAGGTTAGGATTTACAACACATATTTTTTGGGGACATAATTCAATCTATAACACTACCGCTTATATCCACTCTCTTCTCTCCATTCCCACCATCGTTACTCTGGTCTGACCCATATTTCTTCTTCACTATTGAAAGGGCCTCCATGTTGGTCTTTGTTCCACAGGACTCTAAATTTTTAAATTTTTCCTTACATACAGTAGCTAAGTATCTTCTAAGAGTACAAATGTCATTGTGTCATTCTTCTATTCACAAACCCATGACGTCTCTTTGTTCACCAAGGAAGACCAGACTCCTTAGCTTTGAACTACTTCTCCCCCTTCTCTGTTGTGGAGCTTGGGGTGGTCAGTTGGAGCATTGTTCTCAAGCAAGGGCTAGAATAGGGAGTCCTCATCTGAGACAAAAGGGAGAAACCAAGGTACAGATAAAACTAAATCCCATGTGAGGAAACAGGGTCCAAGGTGTCAGAAGGGGAATCCAGAAGAGAACCAATCTAGTTGGATGTGTACATGTGTTGGGTTGACCTGGAGTAATTTTCTAGAAGATATGCTCATTTACTTCTATTCACTAGCAGCAGTGTGAGGTGCTAGTATAAAGGACCTGGGATGAAGTAGGCAGGCCTAGAAGTCCAAGCTCTTCACAGGTGGGACTTGAATCTGTTGAATCATACATACCTTGCTCATGGACAGGAAGACTCAACATTGTGAAAATGTCAATTCTACCCAAAGCAATCTACAGATACAATGCAATCCCGATCCAAATACCAAAAACATTCTTTAATGAGATGGAGAAACAAATTACCAACTTCATATGGAAAGGGAAGAGGCCCTGGAGAAGTAAAGCATTACTCAAGAAGAAGAACAAAGTGGGAGGCATCATACTACCTGATCTTAGAACATATTATACTGCCACGGTAGTCAAAACAGTCTTGTATTGGTACAATAATAGATACATAGACCAATGGAACAGAATTGAGAATCCAGACATAAATTCATCCACCTATGAGCAGCTGATATTTGACAAAGGCCCAAAGTGCATTAACTGGGGAGAAGACAGTCTCTTTAACAAATGGTGCTGGCATAACTGGATATCCATCTGCAAAAAACTGAAACAAGACCGATACCTCACACCATGCACAAAAACTAACTCAAAATAGATCGAAGACCTAAATATCAAATCAAAAATTATAAAGATCATGGAAGAAAAAATAGGGACAATGCTAGGAGCCCTAATACATGGCATAAACACAATACGAACCATAAGTAACAATGCACAAGCACCAGAAGAGAGACTAGATAACTGGGAGCTCCTAAAAATCAAACACTTATGCTCATCAAAAAATTTCACCAAAAGAGTCAAAAGACAACCTACTGACTGGGAAAAAAATTTTGGCTATGACAAATCTGATTAGCATCTAATCTCTAAAATCTTCAAGATACTGCAAAACCTCAACAGCAAAAAGACAAATAACCCAATTAAAAAATGGGCAAAGGATATGAACAGGCACTTCGCCAAAGAAGACATTCAGGCAGCTAACGGACACATGAAGAAATGCTCACGATCATTAGCCATTAGAGAAATGCAAATCAAAACTACAATAAGATACCATCTCACCCCAAGAAGGCTAGCATTAATCAAAAAAAAAAAAAAACACAAAATAATAAATGCTGGAGAAGTTGTGGAGAGACTGGAACACTTATACGCTGTTGTTGGGAATGTAAAATGGTACAACTGCTTCGGAAACCGGTTTGGCACTTCAAAGTACCATACAATCCAGCAGTTCTGCTCCTTGGAATATATCCTAGAGAAATAAGAGCCGTCACATGAATAGATACATGCACACCCATGTTCATTGCAGCACTGTTCACAATAGCAAAAATATGGAAACAACCTAGGTGCCCATCAACGGATGAATGGATAAACAAATTATGGTATAGTCACACAATGAAATACTACACAATGATAAAGAGCAATGATGAAGCCATGAAACATCTTATAACATGGAGGAATCTGGAGGGCATTATGCTGAGTGAATTTATTCAGTCACAGAAGGACAAATATTGTATAAGAGCACTGTTAAAGAACTCAAAAAAAGATTTAGACACAGAAGAAAACATTCTTTGATGGTTACGAGGGTGGGGAGGGAGGGTGAGGGTTATTCTCTAGATAGTAGACAAGAATTATCTTAGGTGAAGGGAAGGACAGCACTCACTATAGGGGAAGTCAGCACAACTGGACTAAACCAAAGCTAAGAAATTTTCTGAATACAATCAAACACTTTGAGGGACAGAGTAGCAGGGGCTGGGGGCTGGGGACCATGCTTTCAGGGGACATCTAGGTCAATTGGCATAACAAAGCTTATCAAGAAAATGTTCTGCATCCTACTTTGGTGAGTGGTGTCTGGGGTCTTAAAAGCTTGCAAGCGGCCATCTAAGATTCATCAGTTGGTCCCAACCACCTGGAGCAAAGGAGAATGAAGAACACCAAAGACATAAGGAAAGTATTAGCCCAAGAGACAGAAAGGGCCACATAAACCAGAGACTTCATCAGTCTGAGACCAGAAGAACTAGATGGTGCCCGGCTACCACCAATGACTGCCCTGACAGGGAACACAACAGAGAGTCCCTGATGGAGCAGGAGAAATATGGGGTGCAGAACTCAAATTCTAGTAAAAAGACCAGACTTAATGGTCTGACTGAGACTGTAGGTACCCCGGAAAGCATGGCCACCGGACTCTCTGTCAGCCCAGAAGTAGAACAATTTCCTAGGCCAGCTCTTGGGACAAAGATTGGACTGGACTGTGGGACATAAAATAATACTCGTGAAGAGTATGCTTCTTAGCTCAGGTAGATACATGAGACTAAACAGGCAGCTTCTGTCAGGAGGTGAGATGAGAAGGTAGACAGAGTTAGGAGCTGGTTGAATGGACATGGGAAATCAGCGGTGGAAAGGAGGAGTGTACTGTCACAGTATAGGGAGAGCAGTTAGGGTCACATAACAATGTGTATAAATTTTTGTATAAGAGACTAACTTGAAATGTAAACTTTCACTTAAACTACAACAATAAACAAACAAACAAAAGAATCATGCTCCCAAAGCTCCTCTTCCTATTCCCAGTAGTCCAGCCAAATGGGATGCTTGACATTTCACACATATACTTGTGCCTTCCCACTTTTTTGCCTTGGCTATTTACTCAGTAGGAAATAGCTTCCATTTTTCTTAATCTGTTGAAAGCTTGCTCTTCCTTCAAGAAACCAGTTCAAGTAGCACCATATCCATTAAGTTCTCTTGGATTTGCTGAGCTGGCAGTAATTATCTCTTCCTAAGGATTCTCACAGCACAATTTATGTTTTGTCCCTTACCTTGTAATGAAGAGTTGTGACTTGACCTTTCTTTGATCCATTCACATTCAGAGACCTGCTTCTAACCTGTTTGATTCACCACCTATAAGCAACCAGTGGGTTGTCACGTCTTGACAATTTTACTCCTACTTTTTCTCTTATATTCTTTACATACACTTACTAGCTCTGTGGTCTTGTGCAAGATTTTTAACCTGCCTGAAACTCAGATTCCTTACCTCTAGAATGAGACTCCTGCTCTAGTGGTTCTGAGGATTAACTGAGATAATATAGGTAAAATACTCAGCATAGCGCCTGGCACTAAGAATTGGTTGAGAATTAGGAGACAAGTTTAAGTTGGGGATCATAGACCACACACTCTGACTTGGAAAGGAACTGGAAGAAACCTGTATCCTTCTCTACAGAGGAGGCCTTGTTTTTGAATACCTGGATCTAAATGTCTTTCACACTTTAAGCTGT